CTGTGTCTCTGTGTCTCTGTGTCTGTTGCTGTTGCTGTTGCTGTTGCCGTTGCCGTTGCTGCTGTTTCTGCTGTTGCTGGTGCTGTTGCTGTTGCTGCTGTTGCTGTTGTTGCTGTTGCTGTTGCTGCTGCTGCTGCTGCTGCTGCTGTTGTTGTGATCATCATCATCATCATCATCATTAGTATTGTCAGCATCATTACTACTATTGAGTCATTCTGACATGTGATCTGCGAACTTGGCAAGCCCAAGGCGCCCAAGCTGCCTCTCCGCCCCATGCGTCGCACTTCACAAGCGGCAAGGCCACGCGGAAGGCATGCTTCTGCAAAGGCTCGCCACCTGTCACGCTTCCGGACTTCAGCCTCTTCGCTGAGGAGGCTATCATGTGACGTGTTCCTAGGTATCAGAGCCTCCGTCGACTTTGTGGCAGCTGAGTAGGGCCGTGCAGCTGGAGGCTCCCCCGATGAAGAGCGCCGTCAGCAACTTCAGGGCCGAGCTGACGCCTGAGTGACTGCAGTTCGAGTGCTTGTGGAGCTGTGAGCTGCTGCCCCATCCGGGCTCCGTGCCAGCTCCATGCCGCACCGCCTCCAAAGGCATGCACAGTGCCAGCAGCAGCAGCGGGATGCAGGGCGAAGCCAAAGCGCATAGGGACTGGGCGCTCCTGCAGAAGTAATGTGTCTGTAGTGTTTGAGTGCTTCGTAGTAACGGGTGGCTAGGACTTTCATGCAAGCTCAACCCTGGGCCGCCGTAGAAGGCGGAATCACAGCTTCAGCACAGGGCGTCCTGCCGTACGCACACTCCAAGCTCATGGCATCGCGGAAGCCCTTTGCTGTCATCTGCAGCCACTGCACGTATTCCTCACAGGGAGCACTGCAGGAGCTCATGCATAGCAGGATACTAGTTGATACTCGTAAACTACAAGGCAGGCATAGGTAGGCATCCTGACTCAAATCCGACGGCCCGGTCCTGCTCCCAAAGACCTCCACTACCTCCAGAGCCTCCACCACCTCCTTGGTCCCTGCGTGTGGACAGGGCCACCAGCCTCACTGAGCTTGAAGTCATGGGGTGTAGCCCAACTCAAGGGTTCAACCATCATGTTTGCATCGAAGGACTTTCCACTGTGGCGGGATAGCGCGACTGCAGATGGTGGTCCCGGATAGGGTCGGGGTAGGCGCGAGTATGCGCGGGTATGCGCGAGTATGTGCGAGTATGCGCGAGTCTGCGCGAGTCTGCGCCAGTGTGCGAGTACGTGCGGGTATGCGCCAGTATGCGCGAGTATGTGCGGGTATGCGCGAGTATGCGCGGGTATGTGCGAGGAGCATACTCGAGCATACTCTCGCTCGAGCGTACTCGAGCGTTTGCGCGAGTACTCGGAGTGCAGTCGCCCATCGCGTCCGCAGTGGGACTTTTGAAGTAATCGGACGCTCTTCCAAATTTAAACAGATATTCTTGAGGAACGATCCCCACGATGTGGCCAAGCAGCACGCCCCACAGCTGGAACAGCTGGAGCAGCACAGGGCCCTGGGCTAGAAGCAAAGGCTGCAAGACCTTAGCAAACTTGCGGCGGAAAACCCCTATAGGCCCTATACTCTTCTTCAAGCATCAGCCGAGGGAAGTTGCTGCCTGCTGTTTTACCTAATGCTTGATTCGGCTGCAGGCGAGTCACGCCCTGCGGCACGGGCGCTGCGTCTGCCGGCCCTGAATCCGCTGCACGGCTCCTGCCGCATGACACCAGCCATGCTCGCTGAGGCTCTCAGAAACCAAAACTGCTAAACTGCTGCGAGCGGCTATGCAGCTCCTCCAGAAGTAGATGCCACCTGCCACCACCGCTACCACTGCAGCCATTGTGGCGACGCCGGCCGCTGTCACACGGGTGTCGGAAGCCACATCACACTTGGTGCACTGGCGGGAGCGGCTGCGGTAGCCCTCCGAGCAGGCGATGCAGAGAGGCCCCTCGTAGCCTGGAGCACGGCAGGAGGCGACTTTCAGAATCTCAGTTCAAGCAGCCAGCAGCTGCCCTGACTAGATGATGTCTAAGAAGCCCTTCCAGCATCTGCCGGGCCACCGGTCGTGCAGCCTATGTCAGGGCTCCCTGAAGCATTGCACCGCTCCTCAGCCGGATCCAAGCACCTGCAGAGTGCGAGGGCATGACCAGCTCTGTTAATCCAAGCGCCAACTGGGAATTGAAAGACCCGTGCACGCGTAGGTGCTGTAAGGGATTCTCAAAGAAATGTCTGCAGCAAAAACCTATAGCTAGCTGGACCTAAAGTCACAGTTCGTTTGCACTCACCTTGCGTACTCAGCACCGTTGCAGGTGAGTACATGTTGCACCTACAGAAGCAGTGAAGCCCGCGAACATTGATTCAGCACTCAGATCCCCGCGGAACCTGAAAACCACGGAAGCCTGACGGACCAGCCGCGCGTAGCCCACCTCGTTCGTTCTTGTGGTCTCGGCTATTTCCTCTGTGTTCATGGCTCTTGTTCAGGCACTAGGTCACCCTCCATGTTCATTCACCCTTGAATCCCTCGGGCTGCGGCCATGCAAGCTCGCAGATTGCTCTCACCCGCGGAATGCAAAATGCGTGTACACAGCTCCCCACTCATCACAATGCAGAATATCTCGGAAGTCTAGAGGTTGTATATAAGAATCCTATGCTCCCCAACCCAACCTTAGGCTTCGCCGTCTCCACGGTGCTTCCGACAGGGCAGTCCTGCGCCCATGGTTCTAGGGGCTTAGCGTCTGAGCTTCTGGGCGTGTTTAAGGTTTCCCCTCTGTGTTCATTCTACAGACCCTCACCTTCCCTCACCAAGACGTAGCCAGAACTTTCATCGTAGGGGGATGATGGGGGGGAGAAAACAAAGGGGCAGTGCGCAGGTCCCTCCCAGCATGTGGCACGCTTCAAAGGTCGGGGCCTTGATGCATTTGTTCAGGAGCAGGTTGGCCTTTTGGAGCACATACTGGCTTGCGGAGATCAAGTTCTAAGAACTTGGAACTGGAGGTCATTTATCCTTGGCTCTTCAAGGTTGCGATGTGCGGCGGCGATGGCGTGCTTGTTGAAGTGTTGTGCGATTGCCCATCGGTTTTTCAGGGTGGTCACCACCCACGTCAAGCATCATGCTCTGAGCGACGACAGAGAAAAAGATCCAAAAACATATCGTGCTGTCGATACATCTTGCACTGTGCCAGAATGCGCTGAACACAGGTCTTTTTCCATGGTATGCCAAAGCGAGGTGCACACAATCGCACAGAACTCTTCGTAGCAAGTTCTATTTTCTAGATTGCTTCGGCTGGACAAACTGCTAGCTTGAAAGGTTACAACACTTCACCAGAAAGTCGACCGGTTCGGAACAGAACGTTCCAACCGTGGTGGCAAAGCAATCCAATCCAAGTTGTTGGAGCTTCTTTGCAAGCTTAAGCAATGCAATGTTTGCTTTCGATTGGCTTGGATGGGGAAGCCAGACAAGACGAGGCAAACGACGAGAAGCGCAATAATCGCAATGTCTCTGCAAATCGACCAGGCACATGTCTTCTTCCTCTATAGGGTCCAATAGGGTCCGGGATCCTGGATGGAAATTCGTGCCATCAGGTTGGCCCGGCAATCAAGCTAAAAGCCTCCGATGGGGCAAAATCCTGACCCTAAACTCCCTAATCCTGAAAACTAGACTCAAATCCCGAAGAGCAACCACTTCGTAAGCGAGAGAGGCATGCGGTATGTAGGCTGTCCAGGTGGAGTGCGCTGCAGTCTTCGCAGGTGCTCCTCAGATTTTGCAGAACCCTCATGACGACATTGCGGCACAAGCACTCTAGACAGATACGCAGAGCGCCTAGAATTAGAGTGAGATGAGCCCACGGCCTCTTTTTGCAAGGCCCAAATCAAGGGAGAGGATCAAACCCAAAGACTGTACACGCCCTGAAAGCAACCACATGCTTTGCCAGGAGCTGGGATAAGGCTTGTCCGTTGTCACATTGGCAGGCATCGTTAATCATCCTGCGCAGGCAGCGGGAGGCGTATGTTGGGGATAAGTTTCAGCACTTCGTGGTTGAGGGGGCCAAGCAAAAGCAGACGTCCGAAGCTTTGGGGAAATTGTCCAAGGATGAAATGGTTGGAGCCACGTGAGCCACTGTGAACCTCATGAGTCCTGCCCAAGTCACACCGACAGCCATCGATGGAGGCAGTGCCTTTGCCGGCGGTGCTGTTTGCCGGGCAGGGACGGCAAGAGCTGTTGAAGGCATCATTGAAGGTGTTGTTGGCGCACTCACTGCAGTCGGTGCCGCTGCCTTCGTATCCCGCAGTGCAGCCACATAGGCCTTGTGGCCAAAACAGGTGAGGACTCATTCTCAGTGAGCTCGACGTCACGTCGTGGCAGCTGTAACCGCCAGTGGCATTTGTCGAGGTTGTCTGCGCTGTCATCCGCAAGGCACCTGTCTCAAAGAGACGTGAGACATCCCGCATATTTGTGATGGCCGTGCCACCTAGGTCCAGCCGAAGGTTCTGTTCGAGGGCACTCTGTAAAGTACCAGTTGCGAACGTAATCGGTGGGTTGTTGGCCAATGAGATGTACGTCTGGACCGGCAGGGCGTCCGCACCGGTAATCTTGTTGCCCGAGAGGTCTAGCTCTTGCAGCGATTTGGACAAGGGAAGTGCACAGTGCTCATCATAGACTTGGCCGTCTACTCTTGCTCGCTTAAGGCAATCTATGTCTGGCACATGCCCAGAGAGGTTGGCACGCTGGGCGAGCAGGCGCGTGAGTTGCCCTGAAGCCGCCAGCGGCATGAGGAGGTCTTCCACAGGACCATTGAGAGGGCAGTCTGACACCTCAGCTCCGCCTAAACCCTCCTGAGCGCAACCTCCAGAGATGGACACACCAGAAATCACTAGCATTCTGCCAAAGTTGCGTCCAAGGTCATGAGTGCTGGCAGGAGCTTCTGGGACGAGTCCTCGATGAAGAGCTCCTGGAGCTCTTTTCCGCTTGGAAGGAACTCGGCCTGGCTGCCCTGGGCAAGAGGCATCTCGGAGCATCTTAACTCACGGCCGAGCAGCACATGCGGCAGCAAATTCCGGCATGGAAAGTCCAAGGGCCCGACCGCCAGCTTGAGGGTAGCAAGCTTCGTCAGCCGGCCTCAGGAAAAGACGAAACGAGTAGGTTAAGAAACGCCTGCGGCCAAATTTGAAAGCCTGCGGCTGATAGCCAGGCGGCCGCGCCACGAAACAGCAAGGCGCCCGTGAACTTGCGTGGAGCTGAGATCGACCTTCCGCAAAACAGCCCGCTTCGATGGATGTGCCGAGGCGGTGACGCCAAGATAGACCCCGAAATTTGTCTATCACCAGTCTCACGTTAGGTTTGACGCTCATCTTGGGGCACCATCTCAAACGCCTTCTCGACATATCAGTTTCTTTTCCCATAGAGCCATAAAGGATGTCCATCCAGTCATGTCACAGGCTGCTGCAGTATCTGCTGGTCGGAACATGTTGCCGCCACGATTGCCCTCAGAGTAGCTTCCGGTAGTAGGCCAAGTTACTGCTTTCATAACTTTTTCACATCAGCAGCATCGATTCCACCACACATAGCACTATGGCATTGTGTTAGCATGAATACAAGCCCCCAAGAGAATGCCCCCGCGCAGCGTCCCACGGTCCAGGGAAAAGCTGGTGGAAACCCGTCCCTCAAAATAAGTACCGCTGCCAAGTCTACAAGTCTCCAGTGCGCCAGTTCCCCACAACTGAGAGGAAACAAGCGTGCCTCAGCCAGGTTTGGCAAGCCGGTAAGGCGCCCAATCTGGTCCTTCATTTGGGTGTTGTAGAGGTACATTTCCTGCAGCAGGGTGAGGGGAGCCAGCGGCTGGAGGTCGCCGGCAATTTGGGTGTTGTCGAGGTCCAGGTACTGCAGCTGGGTGAGGGCATCCAGTGGCTGCAGGTCGCCGGCAATTTGGGTGTTGTAGAGGCGCAGTTCCTGCAGCTGGATGAGGGGAGCCAGTGGCTGGAGGTCGCCGGCAATTTTGGTGTCAGAGAGGCGCAGTTCCTGCAGCTGGGTGAGGGGAGCCAGCGGCTGGAGGTCGCCGGCAATTTGGGTGTTGTCGAGGTCCAGGTACTGCAGCTGGGTGAGGGGAACCAGTGGCTGGAGGTCGCCGGCAATTTGGGTGTTGTAGAGGTGCAGTTCCTGCAGCTTGATGAGGGGAGCCAGTGGCTGGAGGTCGCCGGCAATTTGGGTGTTGTAGAGGTACAGTTCCTGCAGCTGGATGAGGGGAGCCAGTGGCTGCAGGTCGCCGGCAATTTGGGTGTTGTGGAGGTTCAGGTCCTGCAGCTGGGTGAGGGGAGCCAGTGGCTGGAGGTCGCCGGTAATTTGAGTGCTGGAGAGGCTCAGGCGCCACAGCTTTGTGAGGGGAGCCAGTGGCTGGAGGTCGCCGGCAATTTGGGTGTTGGAGAGGCTCAGGTCCCGCAGCTGGGTGAGGGGAGCCAGTGGCTGGAGGTCGCCGGCAATTTCGGTCTCGTCGAGGTGCAGTTTCTGCAGCTGGGTAAGGGGAGCCAGCGGCTGGAGGTCGCCGGCAATTTGGGTGCTGTCGAGGTCCAGGTCCTGCAGCTGGGTGAGGGGAACCAGTGGCTGGAGGTCGCCGGCAATTTTGGTGTCAAAGAGGTCCAAGGCCCGCAGCTGGGTGAGGGGAGCCAGTGGCTGGAGGTCGCCAGCAATTTGGGTGTTGGAGAGGCTAAGGTGCTGCAGCTGTGTGAGGGGAGCCAGTGGTTGGAGGTCGCCGACAATTTGGGTGTCGTCAAGGTTCAGGTACCGCAGCTGGGTGAGGGGAGCCAGTGGCTGGAGGTCGCCGGCAATTTGGGTGTTGGGGAGGCTCAGGCGCTGCAGTTTTGTGAGGGGAGCCAGTGGCTGGAGATCGCCGGCAATTTGGGTGTTGGGGAGGTACAGTTCCTGCAGCTGGGTGAGGGAAGCCAGTGGCTGGAGGTCGCCGGCAATTTGGGTGTTGGAGAGTTTCACGCGCTGCAGCTTTGTAAGGGGAGCCAGTGGCTGGAGGTCGCCGGCAATTTGGGTGTTGGAGAGGCTCAGGCGCTGAAGCTTTGTAAGGGGAGCCAGTGGCTGGAGGTCGCCGACAATTTGGGTGCTGTGGAGGTTCAGGTCCTGCAGCTGGGTGAGGGGAGCCAGTGGCTGGAGGTCGCCGGCAATTTGGGTGTTGTGGAGGTGCAAGTACTGCAATTGGGTGAGGGGAGCCAGTGGCTGGAGGTCGCCAGCAATTTGGGTGTTGGAGAGGCGCAGGGCGCGCAACTGCGTGAGGGGAGCCAGTGGCTCTAGACTGCCGGCAATTTGGGTGTTGTTGAGGTCCAGGTGCATCAGCTGCATCAGGTGCTGCAAGGCGCTGGTGTTTCCGTGGACTTTGGTGTTTGAAAGGCGCAGTGACTCGAGCTCCCTCGGAAGGACTCCGACGCGGCCCGAGAGCGGCCGCCCCGACAAGTCGATCTTCACCACGCACTCCTAGGTTCAACCCCTTGCTGCGTCTGCGCAGAAAGAAGCAAGTTTGAAGCTGTCTCACAACAAGATCCCAGAGTCGCTTTCATCGCAGCCGGCTCCGGGCCAGGAGCATGGATCACCCGTGAGCTTTTCAGCCAGGACCCCGAGCTCCAGGAAGGCAGACCTTAAGGCCGCCGGCCCGGTACCTTGCATCTAAGTGCTCCAACTATTTCAAGGGACCAGAAACACGCAGAGTTTTCTTAGCAATGCCAACAAAAAATCGCGACATGACGATGCAAGAGGTGCCAGGCCACACTCAGACTTGGCAGGGCCGAGCCTCGTGGCGCTGCCGGCTGCGACCTGCACTCACTCCATCATAGGAGTCACGGGAATGGATCTGCGATTACGAACTTCTGCCCACATTTCATGACAGCATGGGGAGCAGAATGTCTCCACGCACAAGGAAAAGAAGGAGCTCAGTGGAGCTTTGCTTGGTCCTCACTTCAACACGATTCGAGATCCTTGCCATCCACGGTTCTGCAAGCTTTTGGGTTCAGCAACGAAGTTTGGGGGCGTCCCTAAACCCCCAAGTCCCAAAACGTTGGCTCAAACCCTGCAAGCTAAAAGTCTCTAAGCCCTGCACTTTATAACACCCTGAAGCAGGCCAGCAGCTCGTGTGGTGCGGGGGTCTTTACCAGCAGCTTGAAAACTCAGAAGGATGCTTACTTCTGGTTGTCTCGAGATGAACTTGTATCTCTTCCAGGACCGAGGCTTACACACCCCGTAGCAAAGCCCGCAGGCCGGCTCGGGCCTCTTCGATGTGCGTGCGGCTTCCAGGCTTGGTGTCGGCCCTATGGACCTCACACAGGTGCTTCGCAGAAGACCTCCTTTAAACCTCACGTTACAGCGCTAATTAGGCTGGTCAGGTGCTGCCGGGCATCGCCATGGTGCTCGTCTGCATCGGTCCCCAGAAACACCTGCAGATGCCGCTCGCTGCGCTCCGCGGCAAGCAGGGTTGCCAGCACGCAGAAGGCCAAGACCGTCAAGGCCCCCATTGGTGGCTAACATGGATACAGCATTGCCCCGTTTGCATGCAAAAGCCGCTGACTAACCTGCAGGACGAAGCAAAAAATACCGCTTTTGTGCATGCTTTCCTCATGTTTGCCCTGATGGAGCTGTGTAAGGCTCAGACAACAGCATGCTGAGAGCCCCGCAGTCCGGAGCTTGCAGAGTGAGCCCAAAAGTGACGCCGGAACGCATGCCTTCTCAGTCTAAAGTGCCTGGGATTCACATGTTGCAGAGGATCTCTATCACGTACACAAACGGCGCTTCCTACCCATTTCGACATATACACGGAGTATGAGGCAGCGGGCATGCCGCCAAAACTCGCTTGTATGCTTAAGGCTTATCATGTGCTGAGCATGACCCCCCAAAAGGAGACAAATGCGCTGCCTTTCTCACAAGTCATAACCCCACCCACCTAATAACAAAAATCCCCACCCCACGAAATTCAAACAATCCCAGTATGGTCTATTTCACCACGATGGGCAACAGAAGTTAAAAATTCAATTTAGCATGCTCTCCACCAGAAGTACAGCAAGAACAGGGAAGCTCCGGTTTGCTTTCTCTCTCGCCGCAAGCTGCAACCATTCGAGTGCGATGCCCCCTGCGAGAAGACGGGAAGATCCTCCTGGCCAACATATCTGGGCTCTTGCTTCTAAGTTGGCTTTGGCTCCATGGTTGCGGTTGTTCACTACCCATAGGGCTCCATAGGAGTTCCTTTTGGGGGGTTCATATTTAGGATCCAAAAAGGTAATCCCCAAAAAGGAACTACTTTGGAGCCTATGGGTAAAGCTACGGCACTCGAGCCTCGCCAGCGGGCTACACACCGGCTTTGCGCTTAGGAATTCTCAGACACTCGAGGTGTCGTGCGCCTGGAAGTATGATGATACCCCGGGACACCGAATCCCAAACCTTCGACCGGCCCTTGTTAAGTCCGAGGTTACAGGATACCCACCGGACCACGATCATGAGCCACAAAGTCTTGAGCTCAAACCAAACCGACAGGAGCATGAACTCGACCTCAAGCTCATAAAATCTTTGACGCTGGCACGAGCAGCTCACGGATTCCAGAGCCTCAAAGAACCCGCTGGCCATTGGCCCCTGAGCTTTCTGGCTATATAAAAGCACGCCGGAACTGTGAAGATCTCTCGATGTGCATGGGCTCTCAAAACAGCTGGCCTCACATATCCCCAATTTTCGCGGCATCCTTACTAGAAGGACCACATGAGCTCCATAGTCTTGACACCTCACGATGCACCATCACACCCAGACAAGTACTCGGATCACAAACTTGCAGGCAAGGCCAAAATCAGGGCGTCAGCAATCCTCCAAACTTAGGCCCAAGCCCAATAAACCCTAAACCCTAAACCCTGAACCCTGAACCGTAAACCCTAAGCCCTAAGCCGTAAACCCTAAACCCTATAGAGGTTGAAAACATCCTGGGTCTCAAACCCTCATCCCTCGAAACGCCTTTCAGCTCCAAGAGCACCACGGCGTCGCCCCGCTCCAAAGCAGGCCACTCCGGCTCCACCTCCTGCAGCAGCATGTGCAAACAAATTATATGAAATATTAACAATGAAAATTTGAAGAAAAAAAGAATACACAAATAGCAATAATGTTGTTATTAAAAATGGCAATAGTAAAGGTAGTAATAATCAGTTCAGGTACGCCTCTTCGACAATATCAGTGTCAACTCTTGCTCCCAGGGGCGCTGCTGTGATTTAAAACCTTAAAACATAACATCCCCTTCCCTTAACACAACCAAAAAACCAAAGCCACAAAATACCAAAAAAACAAAACCAACAACACCAAAAATACCAAACACAACAAAACCAAAAAAAAAAAATTCAGTACTCCACCAGAATATAACTAGAAATATACACAAATGAAAGAGTTATGAAATAATGCTTTTTTTGCGTTTTTTTGGTTTTGCTGGTGTTGTTTCTTTTGGTGCATCTAGGGTTGTGCATGATTCTCTTCTGGTGCACATTGTGAGCTAGCAACCCTGCGAATGTTCTTGCATTACCCTCGACGCGAAATCTCTCCAAAACTATACCTAACCACAACTGAACTGAGGGCGACAACCTCTGCATGGACGCCTTGAAATCCGAGGCACCCGGCCCTAAACTCCATCCCATGATGCCCCAGACTTGCTTCATGCGATGCCGGTGGTACTCCTCCGCATCATGCCAGTCCTGAGAACTGAAGGGCATCCTTTTGGGACTCTGGGTTCAGGGGTTTTGGGGGGTTAGGCTAGGGTTTAGGGTTTAGGGGTTTAAGGATTTAGGGGTAAGGTGTAGGTTTAACGGCTAGGGAGTGTAAGGTCTAGGGCTACGGGATTTTCTTCGGGCTTTCTTTCAGGACGCTGGGTTAATATAGGAACATGATCAAGAAAACCTGGTTTTTCAAAATCTGAACCCAATATTTTGGTGTTATGGGGCCAAGTTTTCTTCGTCAGCTTCCTGCGTTTTGCTATGTCCTCTTCTAGGGTTACTAGTCGGGCATCCAACGGGGGGGGGTTCTATAAGTCTTACCGCAAAACCCTGAATCCGACACCCCTTCGATGCAAACTGCTCCAGAAGCTGCAAGGGAAAAACGGTTTGTATATTTGCTATCTTTGTTATGGCTCAGGGCTGAGGGTTTCGGCTTCGACCTTATGAGCCCGACACTTCGGCTTCGACCTTATGAGCCCGACACCCTTGAGTAATCACAAGCGCTGCAAGCGCAACACTGTTATACAATCCCCCAAGCCTTTGTAGACCCTATAAATCCCCTTACGGACGTGAAGCCCGTCATGTGTCGCGGTAGATGCAACCGAACCGTAAACACTATAAACCCTAACCCTAAGTTTTGCACTGAGGTGCACGAATCGGTCCGTGGGCACTCAAACCTCGACGCGTTCTGGGGTTTGGGGTTTAGGGGTTCAAAGCTTGATGTAAAGGTCTTAACTAATAGAATAGGGTTCTTAAGAATATGATACCATGAATACAGAGGCACCAGATGGGAATAGTATTTTTGCGACCTCTGTCCCGAATAGGGTCTTCCAGGCTTTGGGCTTCAGGGCCGAGGGCTTGGAGAAAGGATGGTGTTCTCGTGTCTGGGTTCAGCTCCCCCTTCGAGATGGAGCTCCTGGATAGAGGTCCCACTACGTACATGGTATTGATGCCTCTTTATAAAGAATTTTGAAGCTCAAACCGGGCGGGTTTAGGCTTGAGGGGTTCATGTTTATGGTTTGGGGCTTCGGGTTTAGAGTGTAGAGGGTTAGGGTTTAGGGTTTGGTTCTTGGGGGTTAGGGTTTAGAAGTTTAGGGTTTAGGGTTTAGGGTTTCGGGTTCAGGGAAATGGAATAAGTAAGCCTACAATATGCTCACGGCCGGAATGCCCCGACCCGACTCCCAAATCCTACCGTGAGAGCAGACCAGGTGCGTGAACTGCGAGATCCAGGCGATACAGGACATGATGTTCATGATGTTGATCGCGCAAACCCTCGGCTCAAACCCTGACCCTAAACCCTGGTTTCAGTCAGAATTTCCACTTATTCAATGGTCCATATATATATATAGAGAGAGAGAGAGAGAGAGAGAGAGAGAGAGAGAAAGAGAGAGAGAGAGAGATATATATATATATTCCCTGTCATGACTATTTCATAGCACGAGTCTGGAATCAAGCCTCGTTAAAGACACCGCCCCGTGCTCCTTATGGAACCCTCTAAAGCAACTACTTGTTACTTAGTTGCACAACTACTATCCGAAGTACCTGAATATTGGGTCCGGTGCACCCTTTAGGGAACGCCTCACCGGAACTTTGTTACAGAAATCCTGAGAGCCTGAGAGGAACCCTTGGTTGACGGGCCTGCCAACACCCCAGGTGCCGCTGCGCAGGCACGCAGTGGCCGAGCAACTGCCAAGCTCCCACCAGTCCCTATAATAAGGCCCCATGTAACTACATAGTAAAAAGACTAGCTTTGCGGATTCCTTTACGGGCACCTTGTAGAGGTTCCTTCAAGAGTTCAAGAAGGCTTCTGGTGTAAGGCTCGATGTATTCATCTAGTATAAGCAGCATGAGGCCTTAACGTACCTAATTCGGGAACTCGTTAAACTCCGTTAAGGCCTAAGTATATGTTCTGCTTTTCCTCAGCAGTGTCAAATGTTCCAAGCCTCAGAATTTAGAAAACAGGGTCTACCGCAGGCGGATGCACAGGGTGGTCGGCTTGGGGTTTGAGGGTTTAGTTTTCTGTTTGGCATTCACAGATCTCAGAGATCTTAAATTGGCATGGAGGGAGTGCTGGTGGAACTTCGTTTACTTCGAGGGTGTTGCTTCCCCATAGAGCACATGACAGAAGTCTTCCAAGCATGCCTCTTTGCGGACGTGCAACATGAAAACCACAAACGACCTAGAGACCCTGAGCTGGACGAAGCAACACTCGAGTGTGAGTTTAGTGATTGGCATCTGGGCCATCGGGGTCTGGAAAACGGACCAAGGAAGACAGACCTTGCCCCGCTTGGTTTGGAGTTCGGCGGTCTGAAACTGCACAAGACCTTGACACCCGAACTTCGAAGCCAAAGACTTAAATCCTCAAATGCTGCGCGCCCGCAATAAAAAGCTCACAAGCATGAGGAACACGGACGCTATCCCCGACCCCCAGATGCCTGCCACTGGCTGTAGGTGGCAACGACGACATGGTGGTCTGTGCGTGAATTGCCGTGTTACTGTTTAGACGCTGACATCGCAACAGCCCGTAATATACAGGCCTGCATCCTCTGTCAAAATTTTGGGGTTGTTTCAGAAGGGTGTCAGGGGGAGTTAGTGTTTGCAAGGACTTGTGGAAGCCATCGAATTGGAGTCAAGCAAATCGTTCAGGAAGAGACTCTCGGGACCGCAACAGCGCACCAGGAGACCGGCAGGAGACCACAGGGAAACTACCGGGAGACCACCAAGAGACTACGAGAAGACCGCAGCAGAACCCAGGACAACCGCCAGACCTTCCCGCCTAG